AAAAATGTGGAGCAGGGTTATATATGGGGAGTGACTGTCTGTGTTTTCTCTTTTTAGCCTGAACATCTTTCTCATACACAGCCTTTTCAAACACAATGTTCTCATAAAGAACAGCTTCATCTGACTCATCTTTTCTCGGTATGTGCCATTGCTGTAATAGCTGTGTACAGGTCGGGTGATCTGGAGTCTCGGTCATGTCTAATTGTTTGTATTCAATAACTTGAAAGAGCAGAGCAACAACATGTTTACATTTACCACCTTTGCCTGCTATACAGGTACAGTTGCTATACACAACCTCCCCATTTGCTTAATTTAAATGGACATAAACAGTGTATGTGTTGCTTTTCATTGCAGCATTAACAGTGCCTTTAACTAAGAAGCAGGACATGTTCCCTTTAGTTATATTTAGTTTAACCTGGACTTGACCAACATATTTGTCTTTGAACATTTGATAACCCAATTTCTTGTGTTTCTGAGCACCTGTACCAGAATTTTCAGTCCCCAAATGCTTGATTAACAGCTCATATGTAAATGCTGGAATGCCATGTAAATCCCTTGTCCATCTTATTGTTACTGGTAATTCACTACTATTCGTCTCATGCGAAGTGCTTGGTTCACTCTCCATATTATATAGTTTAAAAATTTATATACACCTAGACACTTTAATTTATACTCTGACTACAAAAATTTACAATATATTTATATATTTAATTTTATACTGAATTTAAATGAATTTACCTAAAATATCCTATCTAAATGTTTATGAATTTACCTAAAATATGCTATCTAAATGTTTATTTCCTATGCTGTAAGTTCAAAAATTGAAATTTATTTACCTAAATATTATTCTATAACCCACGAACAATTTATTAAATTACAATGGAGGATGAAAACAAAAGCAAACTTCAACTAGAGGACAAATAACAGCAGTAAACCAAGAAAAGCACTTTGAACTTTATATTTTGTCACTATAGCTTGTGTTGCTCATTCAAATTCAGTATATTTTCGCGCCAAAACAAATTCAAAACATTTGGCAAGGCCACGGCACTTCAATGGCAAATTTGAACAAAATGGTTACGACATATGTCAATTTCAGGAAGCTTAAAACGACTTTTGTACAAGTATTGTAGTAAAATGTCCCAGAGATCAAATAAGACACACTATCAGTTAAGCTTATTTTGTAAAAAAAATTAGCCGATCGCAAGTTGAAAAGCGAACTCACCTGTTTTCGTTCGTGTGGTCAATTTTTCACGAGCAAATTTACGCGAAGCATGTTCACAACTTGTCGTCTTCTCAACGGATTTTTATCACCATTAACGCCCAGATTGCCACGAAATTTCGTCCACTTGTAGTGACAAACCTTCTCGTAATTTTGCGAAGAAAACAGACATTGATGGGCACTTAATGTTGTTAAAATCCACCGATTCTTCTCTCGCACGAAATCGATCGCTCATACGGCAGCCATTTCGTTCGAAAGCAAATTGCATACTCCTACCGTCATGCTTAGCGCGCCTAGTGCTATAAGGGGAAGGCCTATTGTAGACAAAAATTCACTAATGGCATTATTATGAAACTACTAGAAATATGTACACGCATGCTGCAACCCCTCGCATGTATTTTCCAAACAGTTATTTAACATGAAGTATTAGTAATTGATCAACACTGAACGCAGGCTCGCGTTACGAAAAATTTAAATTTTATTATATTTTCTGTACAACACGGAAAAAATAGTGGAAAGATTATTGCTTTTAACAGTGAATTTCCGAAATATGTACTGTAGGTATGTTGTTCTGCATTTTGCAGGTTTTGATTTAATGTAAAATTCAACCTGAAATCGCAGGTAAAATGTTTTGAAATGTTCATTTTAATTAACCATAAAGTATAAACTGCTTTTTCCGAAAAACTGTTTTGACTTAATAAAAGAAAATAAATTCAAATTGTTGAGTAATTTCATTTCGGTTTTAAAATTAATTTACTCTCCTTTACATTTTACCTTTTCTTCGCATATTAAACAGGGTAATTTAGCAAACGTACTTTAACACAGTCTATTTAAAAAGAAAGCGGTGCATGTTTTACGCAATGAATTAAAGCAACAAAATTAATAACCATTAAATGTACAATGCAAACCTGCCCTATATTTCTTGATTTTCCACAGTAAATATTTTTTTCTGATTTCTTCAAACAAAAATTTCTTCAAAGCTCATTGTGTGAAACGTGATTTTCTAAATATATGCTTTTGAAAATTGAAATCTGGCTTATCCCACACCTGGCAAACAGCCATATTTTTTAAAACAGTGAGGACGACCACCAACGGACCATGCCTCCTCCGCAGGCCCTCGTTGGGTCATGGGAAGGTCACACACAATCTGGCGAGGGCCTGCGGAATCTTGTAAAAACATGGCACCGGCGTCACGTCAGCAAATATATTTGTACATAATCTTGAATATAAACAGGATATAAAAAAGCGGTATGAAACTCGTAAATTAAAATGGCGACGTTTAGGACGTGGAAGGAAGCATTTTTAACGATAACGTTTGTTGTCCACGCCAACGTTGCACGAATAAAATGGCTTCTTTAACAAAGCAGGTTTGGAACAACATTTATTCATTTTACAAGATTCCGCAGGCCCTCTCGAAATCGTGACATTCCCATGGTCTGAGGAGAAGGCAGCAGGGAGGCCCGATCGTTGAAGAAAACAGTTTCTGGTGGGTAATCCATGGGGCAATGACTGCACCGATGATCTGTGCATTTTCACAAAAGGGACAAGTGACTGTGAGAGACTGTATAGGTTGGACGTCTTGGGAGTCGAGGACAGAGGAGACACCAACAGTGAAATTCTGAATGAGTTTACAGAGAACATTACGAGAAAGGAGGACGGGAGGTATGAGGTCAGTTTTCCATGGATTTCAGGGAAAAGACCGTCGGATACAAACGAGCAGCAGAGTAGGAAACGGTTACAGAATGTCGATAGAAAATTAGATAAAACCCATGAACTAGGGCGAGAGTACAACAACATTATAAGCGAACAGTTAAGCCAAGGAGTAGTGGAAGTAGCCCCAGACACCCCCACTGGGTACCGGGTTTACTACACATGCCGCACAAAGCGGTTGTGCGTCAGAATGCTACGACATCAAAAGTACAAATGGTCTTCGATGCGAGTGCAAAACATAATCCATCGGCTGAGACCATAAACGATTGCATGTATACCTGCCCTCCGTTGCAACCACTTCTGTGGGACATACTAGTACGAGCACGGTTAATGCAGAATCTTATGTTAGCAGAAATCGAGAAAGCTTTTCTTCAGATTGAAGTGAATATAATGATGTGGGCTAATAGTGATTCCTTCAGATTCCTATACAAAGTAAATGACATGAAGAAACACCTACGATTCACACGTGTGCCGTTCGGAGCACAGGCTAGTCCCTTTGTATTAGGTGCAACATTCCAACACCACCTCGGAAACCAACCCTCGGAAAATCAAGATACCGTCGACGCTTTGAAGAAAAATACCTATGTGGACAATTTAATGAACGGCGGCGAAGATCTGAGTGGCTTGGTGAAATTCAAAGATGAAAGCCGAAGGATCTTGGAAAGTGGAAAAATTTCCCGTCCACAAATGAGAAAGTAATGTCGAGTCCTTAGAAAGCAATGACATGCCAAACCCTACAAAATTCTTGGGACATATGTGGGACAAACGGGAGGAAACCCTTGAGATAACAGTTCTTGATTACCCAAAAGATGAACCAGTGACCAAACGAAGCATCCTTAGTCATTTAGGAAGCATATGTGATCCACTTGGGATAATCTCTCCGACCATAGCTGAAGGGAAACGAATCTATCGCAATGTGTGTGACGAGAAGAAATGTTGGAATACGGAAGTTTCTCCTCAATCGAAATACCAATGGTTGAAGTGGACTAAGCAGTTGAGGAATGTTAAGGTGCCTCGAAGTATATTAATAAGAGTATCAAGAGAATGAAAGCAGTTCACCTTCACGTCTATGCAGATACAAGTACTTTAGCTTATTGTTGAGTAGCTATCGCTGTTGTGGAAAGTAATACGGGCGTTGTCAAAGGCTTCCTAGCTTCGAAGTCGCGAATATCAAAACGAGACACGTCAATTCCGAGGCTCGAACTTGTCAGCGGTCATATGGCTGCAAACATGGCAAGAAACCTGTGCAACGCTTTACGCGGATGGCCTATCAAGTCCGTGACTATATGAATGGATAGTCTTGCTGCAGTATTTTGGATAAACAATCCGGGCAAAGGTGTTCGTAGCCAACAGGGTCAAGCAAATGGCGGAGATAACGGACGAAGTGAACATTGTGTGGGAATACTGCCCGACAAAGGTGAACCTTGCAGATTTAGGTAGCAGGGGTGCAAGCATTGATAAGCTCGAGAGCAAAGAGTGGTTTGCAGGACCAAACTGGCTCCTCTGCGAGGACAAGTGGCCTGAACAACCCTAACTAAAGAAGAACAGAGAAACACATGGTGAGTACAAAGCCACTGAACCAATCTTCTACTGTAATATGAGCAAGAAACCGATGAATGGGATGATCTACTCGATCGAAGTTCATATTGGCGAACTTTACGAGTCACGGCCTGGATTTTACGCTTTGTAAATAAATGTCGCTCTAAAACAAGAAGAGACAAACGAAGAAATGGTCCATTAAATACGGACAAAATCACGATTGCCAGAAAAAAATGGGTGAGGGGAGTGCAGCAGAAAGATCGGCCAGATATCCAGTCGCTGGGATGGAGGTTGGTAAAAGAGCGTGACACCGAGGGGATACTCAAATGCGAAGGACGAGCAATGAACTATCAACCAATATATCTTGGGGGAGGAGCATTTGAGGACAAGCTTATTTCTCATTTCCACAATCAGATCATGCATCTCGGTGTTTCAAATACAATGGCGACTCTTCGAGAAACGTGGTTGATTCCAAAGTTACGTGAGAAAGTGAAGAAAGTCATCAACAAGTGTAACGTTTGCAAATTATATTCGGAAAAACCGTTCGAAGCCCCAATCACAGCGAAAATGCCAAGTTCTAGCATATATGTCCAATATAGCCATCGGTTGTCAGGTGGTGAAGATGGTGTAAGATGGTGTCAGTTGCTTTGTTTGTCAGTCGCTTGTAGTGTGGTGTCGGATGGTGTAGGATGGTTCAGCTGAACAGCTGTTGTCAGGTGGTGAAGATGGTGTAAGATGGTGAAGATGGTTTAATGGGTTGGGGGGGGGG